TAATTAACTATAATTAATCGAAATTAATTATAATTAATCAATTAATTATAATTAATCAAATAATTATAATTAATTATTAATTATTAACTATAAATTAATTATAATTAACAAATTAATTATTATTATAATTAAATAAAAACTAAAATAATTAACGATAATTTAAACAAATTAAAATCCTCTCGTTTCCTCTCTCTGTTTCGGGAGATTTACGGGATTTGGCCGTGGAAGAGCACGTGAAAGGGAGATAGTTACCTTCACACACAGTGAGCTTCCGTTCTTGCGCCCGATCAAAATGTCGTAACCTCCGATCGGACAGGGAGGAAAGTCGTCGATGGAGCGCGGTCGAACAGCAACAAAAGGGCCGAAGGGGTGCGCGAAGGGGAGAAAGGAATCTTCACAGCGAGTGAGCTCCGGTTCCTGCGTCCGACCAAAATGCCGTAACTTCCGATCCTCAGCAGAGAAAGTCGGAGCAGGAGCAAAGTCGAACAGCCACGCGGGAGGTGAAGAAGCGTCGCAAGGGAGAAAGTTACTCTCACGGCAGGCGAGCTCCCCTGTTGCTTCCGATCAAATTGTCGTAACTTCCATCCCGACAGGAAGGGCGAGTCGTCGAAGGAGCTACGTCGAACAGCCACTGAGGAGTCGGAGAGGGAGAGAGCTTGCGAGAGAAAAGGAGATCGGGCGGAGAGATCGCATCAGAGGCCTTCGGCCTCGTTGCTTTCGGGGTTTTAACGACTCGAATGAGTCGTGCCAGCGATCGTGGGGAGAAATGACGCGAGATCGTGCCGAGCGACGTGCGGGGAACGGCGACGACGTGCGATGGCAGAGTAGGTAAGATGTGATCTCTTTTTTTTATTTACGGGAAGGGTCAACAGCCTCGTGCTTTGGGAGAGGCTATGGAGCTAGCTCAGTTGGTGGAGAATCAGAGGCATCTAGAGAGATAAATGGGAGGCAGCACCTCAGTAGGCTAGTACAAGATGACGACCACCTTGTTGGCATCAAAGGAGCTAACACTGGATACTCTTCGAGGGACTTCGAATGAAAAGACTACAGGAGGAAGACCTGGGGACAACTTCAAGAAGCTCACAGAAATAGATACATGACAAGAGGACGAAGGGGCTCTGTTTCAGGTGTGACGAGAGGTATACTCCGGGTCACAGGTGTAAGGACCGAACTCTTCAGGTTCTTATTGTTTGTGATGATGAGGGAATGGAGAAGGGTGTCTTCTTTCCACCTTGCGAACAAGGTGGGTCTCTGTGAGGGGAGTATTGTTAGATCGGTCCAGCCTAGTCCATACGGGAACAACTTACGAGCACTAGAGCAAGAAATCCTCCGCCTCCTATATGTGCCAATCGAACCACCAGGACCAAAAGAGCTATTTAGGAAGGTATTTTGAGGGGTTTAGGAGGGAAATTTGAATGAAGGGACTGTTTAGAGATTAGTTTTGGATTATATGCATTAAATAGTTTGTTTTCTTAGGGTTAGGGCATCTTGAATTTGAGATCTTTTAGGGGTTTTTTTTTTTTTGCATCTTGAATTTTGCTGAAATTTGATCTCTTAGATTTAGGGTTTTTTTGGGGGGGGGCTCTAGCGGCATCTAGAGATTTGGGAGAGATAGATCCTCCTCTCAAATTGAGGATCAACTGTATCATAGTATTTTCTTCTATTATATTTAATTCTTGCAAAAATATTACTATTTTCCCTGATTTACATTGGAGTTTGGTGGAAGGATTTTGCGTTTTTACCAAAGATTGATAGGGATTCTTGATAACTTCAGGGGTTTCCTATCATATTCCTCTTGATTTAGCTGTTACAAAACTTTGAAAAAGAAATTTAAGTTTTAATTTGCTTCAGCTTGTGTTAGTTAATTTTTTTAAAATTGTGATATTGGTTAAAACAAATAAGGGGTTTTATTTTAATAAATTTTAAATTACCAATTCACCCCTCCCCCTCTTGGTGCATCTAGGAATAATTCAACGTGGTCTTATAACCTCCCTGAACTTTCACATGTCGGGTTTGGGTTGAACCTGATATTGACCCGCTAATGTTTGACAAGACCCGAACCCATCCAATTTTTGTTAATAGGTTAGAAATTTCAACCCGGACGACCCGTAGGGTTTTCGGGTTAACCTGACCCGACACGAAACCATAATGAGAGTTTGCAAGATTTGACTAAAGAAGCGCGCAAATGGGAGAAAATGGTTACCTTTGCAACGAGTCAGCTCTCTACCATCATCGTCGTTACATCCAATCCAACAAAAGAACGACGAGCTGTTGTGAGGGCCGACCCGACTCGTGACTTCTTACTCGACAGGAAGGAACATTGTTGGAGGCGAAGAAGCCTTTTATTGGTTACCTTCGCAAAGAGAGAGCTCCCTAGTCTCTCGCGTCGTCCTCATTACTTCCGATCCAACAAAAAAACGACGAGCTGTCGTGACTTCCAATCTGACATGAAGTAACTTCTTCGAAGGAGGCGAAGAAGTCTTTCATGAGTTTTATGGACTCGTTCAAAACTTTACCTCACACGCGAAGCAGGCGAACTCGATTAGGTACGAATGGCCGGAGAAGAGAAAAAGTAAACCCTAGGCCTGCGGAACTATGCTTGCACAAGTGCAGGCGGGTTGGCGAAGGCGCAGGACTGTGCCTAGGCGAGGAAATCGGGTTAGATCTGAGTTAACTTTGGGTTAGCGGGTTGACCCGGACCAAACCCGATTTTTTAAATAGATCCTAGTTGGTTATTTGTAGATGGAGCTTCTTTCATTGTGGGGTTTCTTAAGGTAATGTATAAGAACTTATTCTTTTGTAATTGCCTTAAATAAGTTTAATACTTGCAATAAAATAAATAAAAAATCTTCCTCTTCCTTATTTTCTCCTCTCCAAATTCTCTGAGCCTATTAAATTCATTGGTTTATGGTCCCAATATAGTAGCAAAGTCATAGTTACAATGCCCTAGTAGTGTAGCACATGCCATTATTTCCTATTTTCGTAAGTCATTGCCGCCAAGTAATTGTTGTTATTTATATGCTGCTTTGTCGAAGGCCCTTTTCCTTGCTTCCCTTCTCTTTTGTTTGACAAATTTGTCTGGAATTAGATAAGAACTTAATATTGTTGTATTTTCCAATATATAAGCTTAATTTCCTCCGGTAAAATCAAGAAAAAATCTTCCTCTTCTGTTCTCCTTTCTAACTGTAGCAAAAAATGTATTGGTATGGTAGCACATGCTACTATTTTTCATTATTATTTGCTTGATGTTGGTTGTTTCCACTGATTTCTTGCTTTGATGATAGTTCTCTACTTTGCTTCTATTTTGCATTCTAATGGCTATTGTAGCTGCTATTTTTTTGATGTTGCTTTTTATTGGCTTTCAGGGCTATTGTTTACTTGCTATTAATTGTTCTTGCTTCTGAATTCAAGACAATAATAGAAACAAATTGTTGTATGTAGCAATCTAGAAGAGAAAACTATTTAGGAGGAATAAAGTGCTTAAAATAAAGAGAAATGTTGTCCAAAAGATGGTGTAAAACAGTAAGAAAAAGTCATATATAATAACGCTCCAGGTACCTCTAATTAATTAATAAATCAATACTTTATCCTCCAAAAGAAATTTTTTAAATCTTTTTTATTCATTCAAACCCCTCATTGTGACTTTACATAATAATGTTAAGAGGATGGTCACAAATCAATAGCCACCCAATTTCATTTCTTCCCTTCCTAATACTCAAGATAAAAAAGTTATCACACCTTTTTTTATACCACCAACTCAATACTTACACTTTCATCACCAATTTGATTTAAACCCAAATTTATTCAAATAAAATTTTAACACATCATTATAAAAAATATTATTATTTTATACCCCTTTTTACAATTTGTTTTTGGAATTGATCACAAACATTGCCATTTATTGCCACTATAATAAACAAACATAAACTTTCATCTACATCAATGTTAGCGATCAATATTGTAACTACTTCAGATTAAGTTGTAAAATCTAAAATAAACCATTCCCCTATCTCCATTTTCCATCTTCCTAAGCTATTGGTGCATCTTTCTGGTCACAACCATCTCAGCAAGATAAATTCCTTTGTAGTACAAGTAATGATTGGCAACAGCATTGTGACTGGCGATCTACTCCTCTTATCCCCCATCGAGCCCTTTAATTGCTAAAAATCTCTCGTCTATTCCTCAAATTGGTGATCCAACAAAGAGATATTTGATTTTCCTCCATTCTTAGTTTAGATGCTGAATTAGATATGTGATATACTGAGAAATGGAGATATTGAGACATGTTATACATTGAATAAAAACTTATCAAAAACAATGTTCAAGTATATCAAGAAAAATCTGATCATTTTGTTAAATTATTATAACAAGGTTTGAGCGGAGACAAGAGCGTGCAATTGAAAATGATATGATAAAAATGATGGTGATCAAGAATATCTTGATTTAGATGGCATAATTGATTAAAGAACCTAAGATACTCTGCATTATAGTGCATTATCCACTATTCATTTGAATGGTTGAAGCCATATTACAACGTATTATTCGCTACTGACTTGAATACTCTCAAGAATAAGAAAGAATGAAAGCATTCGATTAAGACAGCTTAAACTTTAAGGAAGAATAATTTATAATTTATAATTTCTAATTAGAAAACATAGAAATCTTTATATCATTTACATTGATTAGCTTGACAAGAAATCATGAAGTGAGCAAGGAAACTATTTATCTTCCCCTTTTCACAATCAATGTAAGCTTATCTTTTTTACACCTATATTTTGATTACACATTTGCTTAAATAAGATTGTTTATCTTATGTTTAACATTTGTTTGCACAACTAGATAGAAATAAAATTATAAGAAATTAATTAGAAATTTCATCATATTGTGATAAACTCTTGTTATTTAGCTTAGACTTCAATGAGTCAACTTATGTATTGTCATGAAGTAGTGAATAAGACCAAAATAAAACAAATAGATATCATCAGGGGTTCTGGGCCTACATGGATTCATGTTTTGTGCGATGGCCGTATCCAACATTGGGCAGAAGAGGATTGGCAGAAAACCCTGAAAGCCACATCCTGTCCACCTCACTATTAAGGATGGGGCATCAATATGCTTCTGAGTCTAAGGTCGGGCCATCAATGTGGCTTGTTGCAATACCCTGAATCAGCTCAAAATAAAATAAATTAACAATAGAAAGGATTATGGTACTCTCGAGATAGATGATGTTGTATGTATGGGATAGACTCATCATAAGTTGGCCTAGTGAGACATTTCGGAAGACTTCAAAGGTTGCTTCTAGCAACAGATTCAATCTCAAGGAAGAGGTCATAACGAAATATTCAAGAACTCAGTTATTTTTGTCGCACATAACCGTTGAATTATAATATTATAGTATTTCAAATTAATGATAAACTAAATATGATAGCTTTAAAATATATATCATATTATGATGCATGTTGTCTTATGCATTACACGGGACTTACCTAAAGTATGCTCCAACAAAGATTGATCGTTTTCAGATGACCTAGAAAAAGAGAAACGATGACCTTCAATCATGCGTGGCCCTATACGTTATCTTATTTTGAATGCTGTCATTTATGCAAATTAAGAATTAATATATGGTAGAATAAGGCTAATAATGATTGATGATTATTATAATAATGACAATGAAATAGTAGTATATCTTACATATACTCCCTTTAAAATAGGAAAATATAAAGATGTTAAAATATCAAAATATAACGTGGCTGGTGCTACTCAACATGAGTGCAACCCTGATGTATAAATGTATGTCACGACAAGGGTGGCCAAGGGTTGAGTTTATTGCTTCGGTGGTCATGCTGAGTACAGCGAGATCTCTTCCACCTCACAAAGATCAACAAAGCCATTATCAAAGACAACCAATCATAGGCAAGGTTCAGGAAATCATCTGTTTCATGCTTATGGAGCTGTAATAATAAGATGCTTTAGATGATGGAGCAAACAATGATGAGAAGGAGAAAGAAGATATGATGAGGACTTGATATATAGCAGAAAATTAAGTGGACTACTTATATAAAAAAATAGATTTTGACTTGCACTTTTTTTTTAACTTGAATAATGAATAAAATATGTTGTTGCTAATTTATTATTTTTTATTAGTTGTTGTGTATTGAACGCTTAATGTTGCACATGGTGTGAATGTTCGATGACATGTGAATTCACCTGTAAATGTTTTTTTTTTTTTTTTTTTTTTTTTTTTTTTTTTTTTTTTTTTTTTTTGCAACTCATCTTTTTGGAAGCAATCATTAGATTAGGCGTTAGCCTGCTATACTTAACATTAATGTGAAAATTTTGCCACAGAAGGCAATCACAATGTAAATCCTACGTTCAAAATTGCAACCACAAATACTGGCAAGTCGATTGCAAACTAGAATCTAGAATGGTAGCTAGCTATGTCTAGCAATCATAATATACAATATATGTAAAGATTTTTCTAACTATTTTAGAATGCATGTTTTGTGATGAAGTTGCGATAAGTAAATGTTAAACAGTTGAAACTGGATAACCATATCCAATTATAAGATCTTTAAGTTCGCCTTTAAGACTAGTTGGTCACTCACCAAGTGTTTTTTGCGACAAGAAATAATCCTTTCAACAATCGATATGTTAATATCAAAAAGGTCACATTTCTGTAGTACACCTTGAAAATCATTGCAAGTTCTTTCGAACTTGTAATTTAGAACATCCAGTGGTGCATAAAACAATTATAGAATCTCAATCCAGGCCCACCACTTTACATAACTATTCTTTTAACTATTTTATTCAAATAAATCATGTATTTGTAAAATTTTATGGTGGTTAGATAAGGTTAGATGAAGCCTCCTCATTCAAATATCATGTAATAGGTACATTATATTCAAATCCAACCTACTTACACAATTGAAGGCATAGTTTAAAGCTTCATCCACAAAACAAAGCTTCTTACACAAAATTAGGATTGGCTATAACAATTGTATCCCAAATTTAATTTATAAATAGAATTTATTGGATGAATGAAAACATTATTGGCTTATTTAATAGGAGAATCTCCCTCTGCTTAGTTTTGTGCATTCAAATCCCTAGTCCTTTTATGAGGATCTTATCTAATTATGGTTGCTTTTTTTATCTAAACCATACTTCTACCTCCATCATCTCCCTCTCAACAACTCCTAGAACCCTCACATTGATATTTGTGAGCCAAAAACCTTAATATTGAGTGCTCTTTATTTTTCCCTCAATCCTAAACCTCCACTCCTACCTAAACTCTTCTAAATTTTTTTCTCAACAACATCCACAATCACAACTTGAATTACGGAGGTCAACCTTAGAGTCTAAAGGTTTTCGCTTGAGTAGATCTAAAACAAAATATATTGAGTGTAATTTTAGTAGTAATAGATATAGTGAGGGGATTGTGACTTAGGGCGATCAAGTCATTAATATGAGTACACATTTTAGATATCTTGGATCTATTATTCAAAGTGATGGTGAAATAGATGGGGATATTATCAGCAGAATTCAAGTTGGATGGATGAAGTGGAGGAATTCATCGGGCTTGTTGTGTAATTGAAAAGTACCCCTCAAACTTAAGGGAAAATTCTTAAGATGGTAGTGAGGTCTGCAATGATTTATGGTGTCGAATGTTGGCTATTAAAAGAGAAGTATAATACTAAGTTAAGTGTGGCAGGAATGAGGGCGCTCAGGTGGATGAGTGGCTTTACCCTTAGAAATAGGATACGAAATGAGCATATACGTGAAAATGTTGGAGTAGCTCCAGTATAAGATAAGATTAGAGAGAGTTGCCTAAGATGGTTTGGTCATATAAAACGGCGGCCTTCCGATGACCCGATTAGGAGAGTAGAGGTATGAGATTTGATTTATGTTAAGAAAGGTAGTAAGAAAGGTAGAGGCAGACCTAAAAAGATTTGTTTAGAAAATATTAAGAATGACCTTTTTTTATTAGATTTAAACGAGAATTTGACTTTTAATAGGACGCAATGGACAAAAAGGATTCATGTTGCCGACCCCACGTAGTAGGATAAAGACTTGATGTTGTTGTTGTTGTTTTTGTAACATCCACAACCCTAATCCACCCCTCAAGATTCTCGACAAACTGCTTAAACATAAGATATATGACATTATATCATGCAAACACATCAAAATAATAAATCCATAAATGTAACACATCACAACCTTCTCAATAAACCATATAAACCCTAACAGCACAACAACCCTTTCATAAGCCTTCTCACAGTAATCAATATCATTACAAGAACAAGAAAGGCAATCTCCTAAGAAAAGACACCACCACCACCCATTAACTTTGGTGTAGAGTTTTTGAGAGAAAGCACATCCATGGTTGCAGCAAATTCTAGGAGCACATATGAACATTAGGCATCATCAACATTCATCTAAAATTTAAAGTTTGATCACCACCAAAGGGGTAACCTTCCCCCTCTTAACTGTTAATTCCTTTAAATTCGTTTTGTCTCAACATGGAAAAGCAGGATTTATTTACTTGTCACCATGATATTGTTACGGATCTATGGTTTATGATTTTGATGATAGCAAACATTCCTTATTTCTCTACGATTGCCTTATATGCTAACGTTTCAGGTCCACACGATCAGACTGCAATCTGGAACCAGCTCAAGATTGGGTAGACTAGCAAATTAGTTGCATTAAAAAAATTCCACTATTTGTTATTCATTAAGGTCTATTAACCTAGTGATTTTCATGTTCTTTGTCTTTATGTTCTTGCATGTACCTTTTTACAATATCCAGCAAATGATGTGACATGGCTATTATAATTTGGTTTCCTTCATATTTTGCTAGAAAAGTTTCCATTATCGTACATACCCTTCTCATCCTTCTTGTTTATGTCGACATTCTTCAGCTTCCCTTTTAATATGTTCAAATCTCTATCAAATTCATTCGTTTTTTACAATCTCTGCCAATGACACCTTCAAATTGAACTCCATTTGAAAATCACTAGTGCTTTCTAAGAAGCAGGTTGACTATGGCTTCATTTGGAATGACTTTTTTACTGCTTCTTAAAACAGTTTTTTCGTACAAAATTATTGTACTAGAAAGATGCTTTAAGAAGCAATAAGAAAGTCATCCCAAATGAAGCCTTTGTTTGTGATAATTTCCTTACTGTTTTTTAAAATAATTTTTTTAAAAAATTTTCAAGTTAAAAAAAATATAATAAAAATCTGCTTTATAAAACAATAAGAAAGCTGTCCAAAATGAAGCCAGTTTCTCTTTTTCTACTACATGAAATACCTATCCGCATGATTATAATAATGCCCATGATGTTTGCTAAGAAACATCATATCGTACGTTATTAATGTTTTATTGGACATCAAGTGATGAATGTCATGAGATTAAGGCTTCATTTGGGATAGTTTTTTGTCATTACTTTTTTGTTGCTTTCAAGAAGAAATTTTTGAGAAATTTGCTTTAGAAATCAATAAAAAATTATCCCAAATGAAGCATAAGATAATCATTTTCGTTAAGATTGCGTTAAAGAAATAACAAATATCACTACATGGGGGTCGGTTATATGAACCTTTTTTTCTCTATTTCGTCATATTAAGAGTGAAATTCTCATTTAAGGCTTCGTTTGGGGCGGCTTTCTTATTACTTCTTAAAACAGTTTTTTAGTACAAAAATTTAATTTTTACACTAAAAAGTCATTTTGAGAAGCAGTAAGAAAGCCGTACCAAATGAAGGCTAAATCTAATAAAAAAAGTCATTTCTAATACCTTTTAACCATATTTTTTTAGGTCTACCTCTACATTCCTTAATATAAGTAAGATGTAATGCATTTACTCTCCCAACCGGAACATCAAAAACCATAATTTTATGTGACCAAATCATCTAAGATGACTCTCTCTAATAAAAGAAATGTCACTCTCAAGATGATAAACATTATTGCTTTTGTAAAGCTGATGTTATTGAGCTGCTTGCTATTTGATTTGGCTGTAGATTGTGAATCTCAAAGCTTGCTTGTTGCTCTGAAGACAAACACATCCACTTCCATTATCGTCCTTCCAGCTTTTCAAAACGTTGAAGTCAATGTCTGGAGCCAGAATGGTTTCAGAAGCCAAGTCTACTATTAATCCAATGGCTGCTGAATTTGAAATCAAAAGGCATGAGGGGACAAATGGCCGACTAGGATTTTAAGATCCCTTATCCCTTCATAAATCATATATTTTTACATGCATATATATAATTTATGCCCCCTATAACTACTTAAATAATTTTATAACTCCATTTGAACATTTTCTATCATGAACTTTTAAAGAGTTACTTGCATAATCATATATTGAATTATTGGATGAAGAATTATTTAATTATATATATATATATATATATATATAATTGTTTGTTGTTAAATTTTAAACTTAATTGGTTATTATAATCACATAATTTTAGCATAAAAATATTTAATATTTAATTTTTTTATTACTTAAGTAAAAAAAAAGTTAAAATTTAGTATATTTTAATTGATTTGAGCTAAAATTCAAGCCGAATATGAACAACACATGAACAAATGAATTCAAAATGAATTTAAATCTATTACATATATATTACATATGCTCTCTTAATCAGGTCATCAGAAGACCAACATTTTATGCGATCAAACCTTTTATGTATAATCTTATCTTCCACTAAAATTACTCTAACCTTTTCAGGTATATAATAGTTCCGAATGTCTTAACTAAAAAAAAAAATCATCAATGCCAGTCGCAAGCCTAAAAAAAGAAAAGATTGAAATTATTAATTTGCTCTCTATTAAGAAAATCTGTCTCCACCCCTTAGCATGCTGAAAAATTGTTCATATTTTAGACTCTGAAGTAATTATGTTTGAACATCAAAGAAAAAACATTCTAATAAATCCTAATAAACAATACAAGTATCATAGTCAAAAGCAAACTTTGTGAACAAATTGTACATTAGATTCTAAAATAATTGGCAATGAACTAACAGTTGCAAAAATGTTGTTACAATCAACTGCAGATCAAATCGTCTTCTTCATCACTAATGCTTTCATTTGCTAGTTCAGCATATTCGTCAATGGAGGTTGCTGGAAAGACATTCCCTTCTCTACTTCGGTCCCCAATCTTCAAGGACTTGGTGCCGCTTCCTCCTGCCTTCCCATTGTTCATCTGTTAAATTGGCCATTGTTAGAATAAGAGAAGGATTAAATGAAAGTAAGAGAAGGAACATTGTGGAAGTCGGCGAGACCGGCTAAGATTTTACCCACAAACAAAGTATTGCAAGGATTAACATATCTACGATTTAAAATGTTATAGTTAGGCTTCGTTTGGGACGGTTTTTTTATTGCTTATTCAAGCACTTTTTTAGTACAAAAATTTTAATTTTGAACTAAAAAGCTGCTTTAAGAAGCAGTAAGAAAGCCGCCCCAAATGAAACCTTATATATCACTTTATCAATATATATACATGAAAAATATAAAGATTTAGGCTTTATTTGGGACGGCTTTCTTATTGCTTCTTAAAACAATTTTTTAGTACAAAGATTTTAATTTTTGTACTAAAAAACTACTTTAAGCAATAAGAAATCTGTCTCAAATGAAACCTTAATTGTTAAATGTATAAATACATAAAAATTTTGTGATATACATGTAAATCCTGCTTTATTATACATTTGTGATCTTCACATGTAAATGACTACATTGATTGGTAACAACAAGAGTGCAAAATAAAAACAAATGAAGTACAAAATATTCATCAGTATGGCAAGATAGTGCATCAATATGAAAGGTTTAAGGCAGAATACTTGCATGGAAATCTTGGTTGGAAGCTAATCACAAGAGTACTAGATATAAAATTGACATGAAATGCAGCACATACAAGGATCAAATGAGAAGGAAAATTTTGAAAGTAATATCAAAGAAAGCTCAACCTACTATAATTTTAGTTCAAATGAAAATAGCAAAGAAGACCAAAAGCTAAGTTAAGTTTTTCAAACAGAATTTGAGCTAGAGAGTTGTACCTGATTGTAAAAAATTGGAGATAGTGCAGGAGAGGTGTGGGTGCAGGTGTGCAATCATAGCTGAAGATGAGAGGGAGAGTGCACAGTAAGTTTGTGCCCCTTGTTGTAGCTAACAATTTTAGAAGAAAATAACTAGCAACGGGTCGTGTCTGGTTTGGACCTGACTGATTTGGACCCGACTCATTAAATCTATTTCTATTTTTTAATGCTTATAATAATCATGGGAATTACCAAATTAATTTACCTTTCTATGGAATTAATTGAGCCATAAGCTTGATTAGGACATTTAATAAAAACTATTTTAGAGATTTGGATTTGAATTAGGTAAACTTGAGTAAAGCTCTATTTAAAATTGCGCAATGAGAGGCGTGCCTTTGCGCAATTCCTCCAAAAAATGCCTCATAGCCTACGCAATTTTGGTCTTGCAAGAGGCGTACGCCTCACAGGGGCTGAGGCGCGCCTCAGAGGCGCAATTGCGCAATTCCTTGTGAGGCGTACGCAATTCTGGGTAGGGTCCACTCACTTAAAATGAGGTCTTTTTATCTCTTTCACCCGTCTCCTTCGGCCAAACCCGATTTTTTCTCCCTCCCGCACGCTCCAGGTCGCGAAAACAGCTTACGCACGCCGTCGGCCTTGCTTCCCGCCGGCGCCGCCTCCACTCACGGCGAAGTGGAAACTTCCCGGCCACCCTATACGGCAGTAAGTAATCATACCATTCTGGAATTTTAGGTATTTTTTTAAATTAAGTTTATCGTGAAATTAACAATTTTGCAAGTTTAAGAGAAATTGGGTTCATTGGAGGCCTTTAGTCTCAATGATTTTACGACAAGCTTTGTTTCTGTTCCGGAAAAAGATAGGGTTTTTTTGGATATTGAAGTGCCAGCAAAGGCAACCATTTCTAATACATCAGGTCTCACAGTTAATTAATCTTGGTAAATGCATATCAACCACTTTATTCAGTTCTGAATTTTTGATTATAATTTTCTTGAAACAGTTGAATGGTGGGATCACAATTTTTGGTGTCATCTCACATGAGCTCAGAGTTTTGCTGTGAGAGTGTTGGGACCTTCACTTGTTACCCTTCTTCTGGGAGATGAAGCAGAAATATGGATGTTACAATTATAGTCAAGTGACATAACAAATGAGAAATACTCGATTCTATCTCACAGCCAAAATGGGACTGACTGTATTAACATAATGCACAACAGAGGTTAAGAAGATACGGAGGTTGATTGGCATACCAGGGGTGAAAGATGACTTTTACTTGAACAACTGACGCGTTGATCAGTCCTCCACTCGGAGCCACAAAGGACTTATTGAAATGGATTCGTTTCTGCCGATAAGCTCCGTTGCATCATAAGAACTAGAAAAATACGGCTCTTTTGTATACTTAAAGTCATTCTTCTGTAAACTGTTTCCTTTTAGAGTTTCTGCATTAGAAATATTGATTATACCTATTTGGCACAAATACCTTTCGGATTCCCGCGTTAATACATAAGTCCAATAAGCAATATCTTGAGTTGGTAGGGGGGGGGGGGCGGGAAACGGGATTCTCCAATTAGTCTGGAGACAAAGAGATTCATATGAGAAACATAAGTAAACGAGCTTCTGCTCTGAGCTTCAAAGATAAAGGTACGTGAACCAGCCATTTGATCCCCAATCCAAAAGGGGTTGGTTGAAGCCCTTACAAACTAATGGTGTAAACAAATAGCACCCCTTCCTAAATGGGTTGGAACGCCTGGTAATACTAATCTATGCAGGGTGGGCGCTCTATTTCCAACAATACAGGATGCCTCCTGCATAACTTCTTGAAAGGATTTCCCAATAACAATGGTTTTTTTTCCTGCTTCCCGAATTTTTCTTTTAAGCATCCCTTGTGTTAGAAGCAAACATCTTGTCCTGAATTAGACCACGAATTACAAATGTTTGGAAGAGCTCTAATTGCTAATTTCTCGAGTACTTGCCACATTGATGTAATGAAAGCAAAAGGACCCCCCACGACAATGACGGAACGCCCGTCCGTTAATTATCGAACGTCTGCCGTTTACCCATGAGCAGAGATCTCACGCAAATCTCCTTCTTTGCCTTACAAGGTTTCCAATCTGGAAAGATAACTTGTATAGACTTTTATTATATGCAGTCGCTCCTTCATGTTGTTCCGCGGATACCATTATCAAAAGTGTATCCACGGCACTCTTGGTCCATTTCTCCTGACACATTAAATCCCGCTGGTGTAGATCTACTTTGTTGCTGGAATATGATCGGTTAGTAGTATTGTTCCGAATAGAGTGACGTCTTCTATAGAGTTTCATTAATATCCGAACTCATTAGTTACCGTCGCCCGTCTATCGCCGCTGAAATGCGAAATCTGGGTTCCCTCAACTCTTGAGGAGGGATAAGAACTGGTAATAGCAAGCAGGTGTGCTCAAACATCCATCCTGGGTCACCATTTGTTCGAAGAAATGTTTAGCTAATTCTATGCGCACTAACCCAAAAATCCTTTGCTTGTCTTCTAATCTTTTATCTTCCATTCATTTCCTGCGGACTCTTCGTCTCCTAATTCCTTCCATTTCTACAAAGATTCTCTGTTAGATAATTCCGCAATACCGAATCGGCTAATTGTTCTCACTGATAGCACCTGCCCCGTAGAGATTTCTCGGTTTCGAAATTTCCCAAAACCTTGAGTAGTAAAAAAGCAGTGGGGATGCTGTATTTCCAGGATTGGATTCATATTCGATATGAACCTCGTAATTGCGTTAAGAAAGGTAGGTTTTTTTAGCTATGGACCTACAAAAGAAAATTGAGATAGGTTCTATAGTACTTGGATTCCCCCCCTCTGACAATCGGACGTGAAGGTTCCTCTCATCGGTCAAAGTAGTTTACACCATAAAGAAAGGGGTTCTTCTTTCTTTTTAAAAGCTTTGTTCGAAGAACCTACAAAAGTACTCTTTACTCAAGTTCCCAGTAAGGGACCGGCCTTTCATTGATTCATTCTTATCTTTTTAATTTTGTTATTTTCACTCTATACCGCTTTTTCCTGTTCTTTTTAATGTTTTTACGGAAAAAAAAGGAATGTGAAGTTATTGAGTAGTCTACTTCCCTCAATATGGATGAATCCCCTGAAAGGAATAGGTTGTGGGAACTCGTAAAGGAATTATTTTGTCTATATATTGTAAATGTTCCATTCGATCTTTTTTAGGTCTCTACTCACGATGGCTTCCGACCACCAGCTCGATGGGTTTGTGCCATGACTGAGCCTTGAAGACATTATTAGCGAATAGATAAGCTCATAGGCCCGTCAACCATCCATATGTTCAGCTTGCGCTTGGAGATTTTCTTTCTCACAGGAAAGTGGATATGTCTAATTCCACCTTTTTTTTCTTCACGATGGTATAACTAACCTATTGGCTATATTATATCGTTTTATCGCTATCGAGATCGACCATGGATCAATTCTCACCCGTTCTTGTGTTCTCCCATTTTTATAAGTTCTGTGAATGCGACAGCCCACATATTCTGAGCTTCATGTTACGCTCCTCCCGAAAGATAACATGTTCAGATGCCGGGGGCCATTCCCATATCAGATTAAATGGGATTGACAGTTTCTCGAGTCCAAAAATGCTGCAAACTGAAAGAATTTCGATCAATCACACAT